ATGTATTTCTATTCGCTCCCGAGCCATGTTAATATACCTGTTATATACTCGTTTACATGTATGCCTCTTCCATTAAGGCTGATTGATTGATTGATTGATCAGTAACTGTCAGAGGGGCATTAAGGCTACCCAACTAAAATATCAGGTACGTACGCATTTATCACGTCCACATGCGTGAAAGTCTTACATATTCCATTTACCCTCCTTGATTCTGAGATCCTTATAATATTTAGCGAATAATGGTACTTTTCATCATACAGTATTCTTCATCCTTCCACTGTTTCGTGTCTCTTGGATCCAGACATTCTCCTGACCGTCGCTACGTGACAAATTCTCATTCTACGTTCTTCCCTTCATGTGAAAGGAAACTTCTACATGAAACAGCCAGTAAATATACAGTTCATCTTCAGATATGTATTTGAAAGAAGAAAAGATAAGATATTATTAACTGAATGGTAGCAAGCACACTAAAAATTTAATCTGGTCAAGAAACAAATGCATATGGTCTCATAGTATAGAGAAATTTGAGATCAACCTCTTAAGAGCGCTACTGGAATACTTAACACGTTATTTCGGAAGTCACAGACAGTAGTAACAGGTTGTTAACATTCTAACTCCATCTAGCTGAGCCCTTCTTGAAAAACTGCCAGTTATGCATCTATTTCCCCAACATTTTATGGAACCCGGAGGTTCAGTACCGTGCTCATAAGAGCCCTCCACTGGTCCCTATCCTCAGACAGATCGATTCAGACCATAGCACCCCATTATATTTCTCGAATATCCATTTTGATATTATCAACACATGTACGTCTAGATCTCTTTCCTTCTGGTCTTCCGACCAAAATTTTATATGCATTCCTCCTTGCCCCCATTCGTGCTCCATATCCTGCCCATCTCACCCTCATTGACTTGATCGTTCTAATATTTTTTTTCGCTAGCTCTATAGCCCCTTTTGACCCTGGCCTCTGATATTTTAGTTTCATGATTACTTTTACAGACGGTAGGACAACTTGGACGAGAGATTAGCTCGTCGCAAGGAATCTACCTAAACACAGGAGAACACAAACACAGAATAAACGCATACACATATCAAACATACATGCTTTGTTTGGGATTCGAACCCACGATACAGGCTTCCGAGAGAGCGAAGACGGTACATGCCTCAGTCCGTGACTGACATTCTAATAATACTTGGCGAAAAGTACAGGAAAACAAGTCTTAACGTTATATACAACGATATTATATAGATACATAATATATTCACTGACAAGACATCATGGCGAATTGGATAACAAACTTGATATAGTATTCTAGAGATTTCTCCAAAAATATCTTCCCGGAGACGGACTTTACAGAGAGATATTTTATGGCCTTCCTCAGTCCCTCCAAGAAATGTCGGAAGAGTACGTCAAAGTAAACCGCCTCCTCTTCTTACCACTTCCTTTCGAATTCATTATTTACTAATCGTCTTAATACTTTGCGGATTTTCTGAGAGCCCATTTACATCAATTAATTACTCTTTAATGGAAAAAGAGAAGCATAATAAATTGATGTCGAACCGAGAATGCCAGTCTCCAAGTGGATATTCTGGCAGCGTTTTGTACTCGAAAACATTCACCATTTGTATGGAGACAGCCATACACGTATCTCTTCAACATCAAAACATCAAACGGCGCTTAGTAATTAGAACCGTGCTATGCAGTACATAGGAAGACAGAAATCAACCACTGGCTATTCACTCAAACCCCCAGATGTTACTCTTTTCATCTGGATATACACCATTCTACAGAGACGAATCACAACATAGGCTTTCAGAGGGATTTACTCTTTTATTCCAATGCAGTTCTTCATCTCATTGAATGGAAGCCGGCAGATTACAGATGAAATCTTAATTATGCTGAAAACCTTTAGCAGATCACAGGCCATGTTGCCGCTCCTAATCCTGTAATGCTCCAGCATTGACTGTTTGTCCTCTGTCACTGCAGCAGCTTGTCTAATAATATAATGGCAGGGTAGCACCCCCCTCAAATCCTGATGATGATACTGCGCTGGTGATTTCAAAGGACTCGGACAAATGCGTTTAGAGAGCGTATACACAAGTCTCGCTTCCTACAGTGGGAACTGGACACGGTAAACTTCACTGTAGCATGAGCCAGTCTGGTTTCATTTCCTAGTTGGCAGTTTTATGTAAGAAATAGTGTTTGTCGGAATAAGTTTTGTAGTAAGAGAATAAAACCATTCTGGCACAGAACAAGAAAGCGTGGGATGCTTCAGCCCCGATATGAGAAAAAGAAAAGAATGGAAATATATCAACATAAAATACTAATGTGAAGAAGGGGGAGGAGGCAACAAGAAGCTACATAAAACTGAAAAATGATGAATTTAAAAATTGTAGTATTCACCAGATATTACTAAGAATATTATTATATTATTATATTTCACAAATCGCTATCACACAAAAAGTATTCGTGTCAGTCACGGTTTCACTGCGCTGCTTGGTAACGTCTTCTAACAGCGGACATTCCACTACTTCCGGGCTCACGCAGGGTGACGACGATCTCACGCCAACTTCCTACTGTTCTAACTGCAGTCTCAGGACTCTGTCGTAATGGCAGCTGCTTCTCGTTATATAGCCTGGGCACGTACAGCACAGAAAACACCGTTTCTAAGAGTCTGCAATTCTTACATGGCGTCCCTATCGGCATAGACCTTATAGAAAACCGCTTCCAATTGTTACTCCATCGTTGCGTGTTACATAACCGTTATATAGCAATGGCTATTTCTCTGCCTCCACAGTTCTTGCTTTGGGAAAATATGCCACATTACATTCAGTTTTAATGTAAGCGGAAGGTTCATACACTCTTTAAGAACCCACTTGAACTCCACTGTGAAACTGAGGCATGTGTTTGTGTATGTATATATATACGTCTGAACGTCGTAAAGGATTCCAAATTCTGGAATCCCCTCGTTGGTGTCTCAACCTTATTGTGGTGAGGGGGTTTGAATATGCCAAGGACCCTGAGAGCTATACCAGCGGTAGCGTAGCTACTGGCAGGGCCTCCCTTGCTGGACAGGTCAAAGGGTAGGCATCAGACGAAGAGAGACACCAAAAACCAAAAACTGATGCCGGAAGCAGCGTCATCAGTAGCGACTTGAAGCACAGAGCAAATGATGCTCGAGATGGTTCAAGTTCGTATAGCAACAGGCGTGACCAGAGTGGTTTGAACGGCTGCTGTACTGCGATGTGGAAAGCAAATGGAAAAACTACCACATTATCACTTTTCCTGGATAGTCTCTTTCCAAAAACAGAGATACCATATATGCGAGATGTTTCCTCTGGTGACAAAACAAACCGGAGGGGCGGATAGAAATGACCAGAAGACGAGGAAGAAGACGTAAGAAGATGACTTTTGGGACAGAAGAGGATATTTCTATTTGAAGGAGAAAGCTCGAGATCGCATTAAGTGGAGGAACTGCTTTGGAAGAGACTGTGGCCCTGTCGTCTGACAGATTACTGATGATGATGATTCTGGGATATAACACTGTGTTCCAATGAACGTGAACCGACGTCTCGGAGGAACGCATCGCTAGTTTCTTTCCTGACTTACCTTTCGCCTTCGAAGATGGGAGCGACATATTCTTCTGAGGGGTTCAGCTTCATCGGACAGCATGATATCTCACAGAACTGAACTTTTCGTGTTCACTGCCGTAAGAATCTCTCACGTTTCAAGTATTCAAACGATCGTCGCAGTTGAAGGGTTAGAATTGCTTCTTTGAATTCATGAGGTCACGGATTCGGTTCTCTGCTATCCTGACTGGGTCTATGGTAATTTCAATTGATGTCTTCAATCTATCAATTCATTTGACGTCACATGCTTGTTATTTAACGAAGCTACGAGTATATAGCCTCGATCATAGGATGACGAGTGAAGATGGAACAGTTGGTGTGAGGTGAATCGGCAGAGGAGGCAGAGGTACTCTGAAAAAATCCTGCTGTATTGCCAATTTATCCACCACAAATCCTACATGAACTAACCCGGGATCGAACCCGGGTTGTTGCGGTAGGAATTCGGCGACTAACCGCCTGAGCTGTAGGTACTGCCGACTGACGCCATGTAAGCTGTTCGGTTACAACAAAGTTAAAGTTGTCCCTGTGCTCAACTAATTAAGCACCACGCCATGAAGACGTATGGGTGGTTGGATGTATAGATCCACATTTTCATGGCCTCGGCACTAGCTGGAGGTGAGTTGTCAGCTTCACAACCCTGCCTCTTTACACCCGGTACCCATGTGAATGATGAAATGATTCGAACCGTCTCGTATATAGTCATTTACCGTAAGTACCTAGAATGAGCAAATTATGGCATCGACATCCTCTTTAAATTAAATGAAAATTATCATAATATTGCGTGGAATCAACTGAGTGTTTAGGGAGCTGAAGCCAAGATATGATATGTACAGTGCACTTGTCTGACTACAACTGTTATCGGCAGAGTAAATGAACAAAGGTTGTACAAAATCTATGGGAATATTTCTATTACTACTCATCCTATTTGGATGGAATTTAAACATATTTCAATCCTGAATTAAATACATTGATCAGACAATAAATCACACTTCCTGCTTCCTCAGCTATCATGGATCAGGTCCTTATAATTATTTATAAACATTTGAATACTCGTACCTAGACATCTAAACAGGATATCGGCCCCTTACAAGATCTTTCACTCCCAGTGTCTATGGAGCCCGTGGCTGTACGATTTTTTTGAAATCAATTATCAATTCTGCTGCAACAGTGAAACAATCGAATGGAGAAGATGCATGGACAATTTCCTGTTACCTGTATGGAACCCATCTGGAATATTTTGAATTATTAATGGGAGGAACGTATTTATATTTTGCTGAATAAAATGCAGTTAAGAGAACACACTAATCTATTCTGAGCATATACTGACATGCTATAACCTTATGCGGAATTGGTGTCCACTTCTTTCACTTACAAGTCTCCCTGCTTGGTTGTTATGGAGGTTGATTCGAGACTGGATGTCTCCTGCCTTTTCTCTTGAGTCGAGGAACGATTTTGAGAAGTCGATGCCGAAGTCCAGGTTGTGGGAGCAACCTCCCCACTTCCACCTGCTAGCACTCCTAGTTCTCTGTTGTGGGGGCATGTTGAGACCCCTGGTGCTCTTGCTGCCCAGACGGAACCCCGGCCGGTGCCTGCCTGCCGCCCGGTAGCTCGCTGGGTCGCACCCACAGGCGACGAGCTTACCCATGCTGCACGCTCTTGCGACGCTGTGCGCCACCCCAGCCGACGAGATGGCGTAGGCAAAGGCCGATTCACGGTAACCTGACAAACATAAACTGCACGTTTAGTTACACTGTTCAGTTGCTTATCTGGCACTATGAATGTCCGTGTAAGTTTGCTTCTTCCAATTAGGTACACTCTTAACCGGAAGGTAAAAGCTAAGTTACAAGTGTTACGCAACATGGCCATAAGAAGATACTGGAACATAAGAGAGATGCATTAATCTGGATGAAAGTATATAAGGGCGAACATGTTTTTTTTTTAATTCGCTTAATGGGGGTGGAGTTCAGCTGGGTCCCTTCGGCACGGCGGCCACTGATTGGCATATTGTAGCCTGCCCCGGGTGAGTATGATGATGGAGAATTTGGTGGAATGAAGATTGGCAGGGTATATCGAAGTACTCGGAGAAAACCCGCCCCAGCGCCATTTTGTCCACCACAAATCCCACTTGACGGGAACCGGATTCGAACCCGGGCCGCCGCGATGGGAAGCCAACGACTAACCGCTTCAGCCATGGCGCGGCCATCAGGGCGAACCTTAGTCTTGTCATGGCTTTCTTAGGGTAGATCTTACGTTACTTTAAGTCAGATAGATGACTGGGAAGATGGGAGGATAATAAGAGGCTCTATGAGAACCTCCGGAAGTGGTTTCTGACACCCGTTTTATATTCTTTTTAAATGTTTCAATCTGAATAAGGGAGAATAAGATTGACGGAACTTGTAACACGCACAAGAGAAACAAGAACTCTATAAGCCGTTTTAGTCGCCAACCCTAATGTCAACGAACGTTCTTGGAGACCTAGGTATAGGCAATAAGAAAATATGACAATAAGTTCTGGGAAGACATAATCGCCTGCTTTACTTTGATAAGAAGCGGACCGCATAGAAAACTAAAAATTAAAATGTATATCAAAATTACTTTATTTTTCAAACACAATGATGTTTAAATTGTCCAACACATTTTTTCAGAAGACTGTACTTTTCATAATTAGTTAAGTGAGAACCTCCAATCCAGCAACAGTTTCAAACGTGTTTCTATAGACAGCACACATAGCTAGAAGGCCGACCAATACGTAATGAAAGAGAGGCCAACTTCATATGATTTAAATACATTTTTTCAGGCTCCGTTTTCTTAAGAAAGTTAAAAACTTCTTATACATATTTCAGTTTTTAGTTTATTGTGGTATTTGTTTCAAATGTATCGGAAACTTTTAAAACAGGTTGGTCGGATTGCTTAGGTCTACCACAACCAAACACAATTAACAGATACACGCCATGTCTATGAACATTACTTTCCTGATTGAATGGGGAAAGGACCGATAACATATCAATGTATAATTTAACGCAAAGGTTAGTAATCTTAAAACTGTGTTGTTACAAAACCAAATTACTGTTAAATACCAGAACCCCAGGCATGATAGACACTGTACCTCTTAGTAATATCACATACAGTAGACACTATACGGACACTGTGACCCTTCCCTGGCCTACTGGTACCTTTCTGCGTGTGTCTTCCCTATTCTATATATTCTAGAATGGAACGCATCTGTAATATACATAGCATATTCAGGGGTGAGTTGAAGGCGCAACAGTGGTATTTATTGCTATGCATGCCACCACAGCACTTGGTATAAGGGTGAGAATGTAACAGCCTTAACACCTCGGGACATGAGATGCAAAAAAAAAAATTCTAAATTGATGGTTGGGCTTCCTTTCTTTCTTTCCCGCCTTATTGTGACGTAGGTGTTGATGCTATGCGAGTGGGATGTCCCTCAGCCGTACCAACTTTATATAGTCTTCCTCTTATACAGGCCGTCCAGTTGTAGATGGAGTCAGAATTGCAGGAACATGTGTAACTGCCACAACACTGTTCTTTTCCGCAAACAGTGTTTCCTCGATTTAACGAACTAATTTCGGGGGAAGGCGTGTCAGATATTGCCAAATGTCCGTATTCCTCACAAGCACTTGTGGCGGATACCCACGAATCCAATTTTTCAATCAGTTCCAACTTTTGTTTTACTTTTAAATTTATCCCTTTTCACTATTTATCCCTGTTATATTAATTACAAAAAATGTTTGTGACAGAACAAACCAGACAAACGTCTATGGCAATTACTGGTTTGGTGCTGCAGAGCTTAGAAAAGCACAACTTGGATGTAAATTATGTGTCTTCTTATTGTGCACACAATGCCAATGTGAACTATGGAAAAACACATTCCGTATATCAGTTGCTGCGAAGTAAAAACCCAAATTTACTTAAAGCTATTGCTCTAATCATGTCACACATAACACAATTAAGTTTGCAATTGACAGATTAGATGATGATGTTGAAAGTGTAGTCTTAAAGATATATAATCACTTCTCTGTGTCTGCCAAAAGAAGAGAAGGGTTAAAATCATTCTTTGAATTTCTGAATTTGGAGTGGACTGAGATTTTGAGGCATGTTCCAACTAGGTGGCTGTCATTAACATCAGCCATTTCTCGACTGCTTCAGAACTGGGAAGCAATGAAAGGTTACTTCAATAGTATTCCCAACTGTCCAAAATTATTATCTAACATTTTCATGAAAGATGACCCAGAGGAAGCAGTGTTGCCTGAAATCTACTTTAATTTCTTAAGTAATATTGGAAGTCAGCTGGAAATGGTAGATAAAACACTGGAAAGGTCTGACTTAAGTGTACTGGAGACTTACAAACAAATTAAACTTCTCAGTTCTAAAATCCAGCAAAGAAGGAAGACAAATTTTTGGTAGCAAAGCAAAAGAACTCATTAATGGATTGTTATGCCATTACAGAAAAATGTTACTGAAGACCTGAACAGCTTCGAGAGCAATATGCTTCAATATCTGCAAGAAAGATATGATGTGACAGATGACAATCCCTATGCATCTCTTGCAGCATTTTCTCTACAGGAAGGGATTGAGTTCAAAGATTTTGAAAAAGCCATAGAAGTGTTTCAGCTAAGTGAAAATGTTTGCATTGATGACCTGTACGAGGAGTTCAGCAGCCATCGAGATTACCTCTGCAACAGTGTGAACAGATATGGTGATTATGTAGCACACTGGCTTACAGTTCTTTCTTCAGTACCTGAGCATGATGTACCAAATATTTCTAGAGTGGTAGGATTTTTGTTTAGCATCTCTGGCTCAAATGCTTTTGTGGAGCAAATCTTTTCATTCATGAAAAGTAAGTGGAGTACCACAAGAAACAGATGCTCAACAGAGTTAATCAAGGCAGAACTCCAGGTAACAGTGAACTATGAAGCAAGTCCTGTTCAGAATTTTATAAATTTTCAAAGGGTGATGTTCAATTATTAAAAAGTGCTAAGAGTTCAGTGAAATAAAATTAACAGAATTTGATCGACCAGCCTTTGAAAATTATAAATATGTAGTATTTAATATTTGTGTGTTCTACAAATGTGTGCTAGGTAATATTTTGTGCATTCTATAAATATGTAACAGGGCTACGTAATATTTGTTTTGTTCTATAAATGTGTAGTAGGCGTATGTAATACAGATGTGTAGTAGAATTTTGTAAGTTATGTAGTATGTTGAGTATGTATATTTTATAGCCGATAAGTTGTGAAAAATGTCGTTATAAACAAGCAACGAGACATCACTCCTTTTTTTATTTTACAAAATCTGGCAACCCTACATGCAGTACACATCAATCACATTATTACGGGGAAGTACCGACATATCTACCGGATAACAACGGGGAAGTACCGAAGAATTTTGTTCGTTAAATCCGAAATCAGCTAAATCGAGGATTTACTGTACCTCGTACTTCTTTTACTTTCCCTTCCTTCTTTCCAGGTACGTTCATTTTCACCTTTTACTTCTTACTCAGGTTTTCCTACTTATTTCATCTCCTTCAGTTCTCCTTCTTACTTCCTTTTCTTATTTTTATTTTTCCTCTAATTTCGAATTACGTGACAAGAAACTGATAATTTTCGTATCAACACAACTGCAGTTGCCATTCAGAACTGCAAGATGATAATGAAATGTTCCTCCCTTTTTAAGTGTCATTGATAATCTGTTATATTCACTTCTTAAATGTGTGAAATTCATATAACGGTATAGTGTACAATCAATTTACAGAGCAGACAGAGAAACGAGATTATGTGTTTTCTCTCCAAGTATACCTCCGTTTTATATGCTCTACCCAAAGAATGCATAAAAGCACTTCTTTTCTTCAAATCATTCCAATAATTTCAAACATCATAACCATAAGTTATCAAACCATATTTAAAAAAATTCGCAACACTGACGTACATGCATAAGTAAGATTTTCTGAACATGAATTATTTCTTAATTTACAGCACAGTCTTTGAATACCACAAGGTTATGAATTCGAAATTAACATCCTGTCATATTCTTAGATACATAGTGCACCATTGAATGGGACAAATTTTCACAGCGTGGCGCGAGCCACCATCTTGTATTCACTTTTCTTCTAGCTTCTGTCCATGGGTAACATCCAGATATATAGTCTACCTGAAGTGACTTATGGGAATCGCTGATACATTCGATAGTATGACAGTGCTGCTAGATGAAACTTGCTGATCAGACACAAGTCACAGTGCTACAAGAAGCTGCGCGCATGCGTGCTTCCTCATGCGGATTGATGAGTATTATACGGCCTCTTGCAGAAGCAGGCCACGTCCACGTAATTTTACCCGATCATCTGTTCCATGATATCTTTTGCAGGCTTACGTACCTAATATGTAAAGCTATCCCTATAGCAGGTCATAGAGGCCCATAGAGTTGTGAGACTTTGAGGGTCCCACATTATCTAGACAGTCGGCCCACAGATGGCAGTAAGGTTGTCAGCCTTACGCGGCCGGCCGCCCTTTACACCCCAGAGAGATTCCTGATACTCATTTCTGTTAGAGGCTGATTAGACACCAATGTAATAGCTCTAATTTTGCTCCTTATGAAATTTTAAGAATTTCCCAGCATTTTATGGAACCCAAAGTTTCGTTGCCATGTTCACAAGAGCCATCCACTGGTCCCTATCCCGAGCCAGATCAATCAAGTCCATA